AACCAACTGCCGTTAAACGCCCACGGGATTTGTCGGGGAGTTGTATAAGACCAGACCTGTGGATGGAGTGGAGTTGGAGTTGGAGCTGAAGCTGAAGCTGGGTCTATCGTTGAGGGAGTTTTGTCGGAGCTGGGCCGACACAATAAATAATATGTAACAAAGTCAGGAGGATCGCCATGCCGCCACCGCGGTGCAGTCGAGAAGGCAGCGTTGAGTTATGAAGTGAACTTGTGGCGCGTGCGGGAGTGCGGCTCCTAATCCGCGCAGCTCTCGAGATTTACACAGATCTGTGCTCTGTTAATTTCCGCTCTGGCTCCGGGCACAACGTTTTGCGGATTAATGTGGGTCAGAGCGGTTGGGTCCTGAGATTTATGCCGAGCCGCGGTAATTGCACAGCGGCCTGACATTTATCATCGGCAGGCCAGCCCAGGCCAGGTAACAGTTGATTGCGTCTCAAATCGAACACTTTCACACACGAAAGTGAAGCGCTGGCGGAAGGTTGGCGGTTGGCGGCTGCCACAAGCAGGTCCCCACAATTTTCACATGATTCTTTCCAATGCACACAGTGCACATAAATCACTGGCTTTTGTTTGCCCATTTTCATGCATTGATTCGAATCGATTCATTGGGCAACCGGCACCCGGCACCCGGCCCCGGGCGACTCTCACTTTCAACACAAACCGACCTGAGACGACTTTGGCTCCGCGTCGAGTCGAGTCGAGTCGATTCGATTCGACATAGCTCTCATCGACCCGCAGCATTCCTTTCAACGACTTGGCTGGATGGATTATTAATGGTCAAAGGCAGTCGATGTACATCGCTTTTGGCTGGATGGATGACCAGTGGTACCGTTACCATCTCCTGTTTAGTGCTCCACTCTCCATGGCCACTTCCGCCAACAAACGAAAATCAGCAATACCGACGCTCCGACCTCACCTCCCCTCCGTCGTCGCCGTAGCCGTTGTCGTTGTTGTTTTCGTTCTGAGGCAATTAATTTAGCTAATCGCATTAAGAATTCTATGGCATATAAATGCCAACATTAAGAACACAACGGGGCCACCACCGCCAAAAAGCGCTGCTGGCCTTTAATTATGGAAACGGACAGCAGTTCCACATGACAGCCAGTCCCAATACCAGCAATACCTTCTACCCCAATCGGAGCCCGGAGAGCAGCATCCGCTGCGATCGGTCCTGTTCCGACCGTTGCAGCTATGACTCTTCCATGTTGTCGTAAAAACAAAATGCTCTGCTGAACATGAAAATGTTCTATGGCCACGACCTGAGGCCAAGTGGAACAGGTGCAACCAGTTGGGGTCCTCACTGCAGTGGTGACTGACTGAAGTACCTCCTGTACCTGTACCTGTATCTGTACTGTTTCTGTACCTCTGCCTGTACCGTGGTTGTACTCTCCTGGAACGGATTTTGTGGTCGCATCTGGCCGGCCAGAGATGGTTATGGATTCGAAATTAATCAGTGGGAGGATTTTTAAGCTGGCTTTATGGGAGAAAAGTCGTAAATCATGTCAGTCCCTGAGATAATACCCACAGATATGGAAGCAGCAAGAGGCGCTGCCAAAACCCAACGAAATCGGAATGGTGGAAGAAATCTAGCAGAATGGATGGGTGGAAAAGCCAAGCCCACAGATGTGAATAATCAAGAAGTTAATTGGGTAAAACGGCGCAGTAATAAACAGATAATAAAATATCCATCAAAAGTCAAATAAAAAACCATAGAAAGGTTTTGCTTAATGTATCAATTGGATCTTTCCATTCCATTGAGCGCGGAACGAGCGTCATGATGATTTCCTGGATGATGTCTGCCTGGATCTGCCCACGTGTCGGGCTGCACGTTCGCTTCCCAGGAGATGTCTTTGACAAGTCGAGTCTTTCATCTTTCAATTGATTCGAATCAATCGAATCAATCGATCCAGTCGAGATAGATGCACTTTGCGATGGGAGTCAATTTTGTGGCCTGGGGAATCGACAATCGGCAAGAAATCAAACAATTTCGCTTTCATTGTACGCAGCTCAATTTGTACAATATAATTTGGGATTTGGGGTCTTTATTAATGCAATTACCGCACGTTAAATAAAAGCCGCGCTGCGGTTACGTGCAACGTGACCAGATCGAGCAAACATTACATCAGCGGGCGCAATTTGGGAAGCGGTCCCCACGAAGGCCCCGACAGCGGCCCAATCATCAAAGAAAGCGACCGCCGGAGGATTAGACATGGCTCAACTACGAGTAGTAGTAGTCGTCTCCCGTCTTCCGTCTCCCGTCTCCCGACTGTGCACACCATGGCACACATTCCGCTTTATTCCACCGCACTTAAGTGTAATAAAATTTGTAATAGAATAAGTGCAGCATTCGTCGGCGGTTGTATCCGATCCGAGAGTTCTCCATTTGCCATTTGCCTCCCAATGACTGGGGACGGAACGGGACTGCCGCCCCTTCTTATGCCTTACATGGAAATGATTTTCGATCCAGCCAGCGGGCACACAGCCGCCAATAGATAGATGCTCCCTGCCTCCCTGTCTCCCAGCCTCGCTCCTTAATCTATTGTCTATCTGGAGCGCCAAGCCGAGCCGAAGTGAAGATCATTCAGAGGCGCACACAGCAGCCGGATCGGATTAGATCGAGTTTCTCCCCCGGGAAAGCTAATCCCCCATCTGGCCCAGCTCCGGCCACGCACCTGTGTCCATTTATATGAGGTTCAGTTCGAATAGTACAACTGATAATCGACTTCCGTTAGCCAGATGATGCTGTTGACCCAGTTGTGGTCGGTCAGAGATCTGGGCATTCAGTGCCTCTAACCGGGATGGACATGGAATCTGTGGGCGGGCCTCGGGCTGTGCATCTTGGTATTCAGCATTCACCCCATTTGATATGACAAAAGTCCGTGAAAATGGCAGAGATCTGGAGCCATATAAGAGCAATGGCAATACAAGTAATATGGAAATTTTCGTTTTCTCCACAGCAGCGGATTTCAGTAAGCAGCCAAGACACGAAATTCAAATGCAGATGCCAAGCCAGAAATAGGAATACCCTCGTCCTCGTCCTCATCCTCATCCCTATCCCCAGCCCCATTCTGAGACACAGCCATAGCCACAGCCTCAACCTCGATCTTTTAGAATCTATGGACATTTAGACACTGGGCGATCTCACCTCACCCAAATACGCGACAGCTCAATCAGTTGGCCATGACTGCGTGCTGTGGATGTGGCTGTGGCTATGGATGTAGATATGGCTGGGGATATTTGGATATGGATATGGATGTTGCCATGGATGTGCCTGCTGCTGCTGGTGCTGCTGCTGCTGCTGCTGGAGAGGATTTCGGCCAATTTGATTTATGTGCAGGCCGGAGAACTTGTCTCTTCCTCGTTGCATTGCAGTTTCATGTTGGAATTCATGAATAAACATTAAAGCTGCCGAAAATTTGTGCAAGCCATGGCCATGGCCATAGAACAATAGAACTTGGACTGGCGATGCTCCATTGTGTTTTATGGAACCCTTTTCCACATCGAACGTGAGGTTCAGCTCGAGTACGAATTCTCACAGATACACAGACCAGATCCATCCATGGGTGTGCACTGTGCACTGTGCTCCCTTCGAGGTTCGAGCCAAGGTTCACTCTCTTGTCACTCTCAGATCGAATTCATTTGGCGCAGTTCGATTCTCTTGCTTGCGATTCTCCCAACAGATCTGGCAGTGCGTGCAACATTTGTGAATTATTTTGTGAAAGCTGTCACCTCCGAGGGAAATCTCTGACAAGTGTGAGACTGCCAGAGAACTGAGACTGCCACGCGTGCCTCGCTCGCTGGGGCTCTGATTAGTTCAGGTGCTCGCATTGACCCAGAGAACTACATTTCAGTCGGACTGTGGGTCTCATAAGATACCACACTTTCGGTGTGGGGCATCGAACGGGCAATTAAGTGGAGGAGTGAAGACCAGGAGTGGGATCCCAGCCACTCTGTCTCCCGTTAGTCTCTCACTCAGTCACTCAGTCACTCAGTCACCCAGTCAGGCAGTCAGTCTGTCGGGGAACGAAACGGTTAATTTGCCCAAAGAGACGAGACACGAGCAGTTCTCTCGCTGTGATAAATGGCCCTTCGTCATCGTCCAGCTACAGCTCCAGCTCCAGCTGCAGGTCTAGGTCCAGGTCCAGCTCCCAGGCCCACTTCCTCGTCTTAGTCTGGGACTAATCGTTGCTGTTTGGCCTTAGTAAGACGGTTAAATAGTCTCACACCTCGACACAGACATCGGCTCAGACATGGACATGGACATGGGGTTCGACAAGGCGTCTGCTAATATTCTGGCCGGCTGCAACTCAATTAGGATGCTGGAAATGATTCATTCTAATCTCGAGTCGAGTATCTGCAGTCATGAAGTCTCCTCTAGAGATACATTTACCGTTGCCTGGTGCGGCGGCATTCCCCGAGGCGGCTCTGAACCGCTAAGCTGTTGTTGTGGCTAGAATTTTGCATGGCCATTTCATTATTGATTCGGATCTGACCGGGTCGTAAATGTCTTAATTTAGTGGCAGTTCCCTCCACTCTCCACCCTCCACCCTCTACCCTGTTCCCTGGCCACGTTTCTCCCACTGACAGCTACATTATTCGGACAGCCCTTGGGATACCCTTTCTCTGTGTGTTGGTCTCTGTAGGGTATTCGTGATGATTCCCATTAATTGAGAAAAGTGAGAGTTGCAGCCAGCATACGAGTGTATCTCATATATCCCATCTCTTGAGGAGCATTTCTACTTGCTTTTGTTTGTTTTGATGGGCCTCTGCGAGTGAATGAGTTTAATCGATGGCCAAACCCCAGAGCAGCCTGCATGAGCCATCATTAGGCCTGGCTCAGACACAGTTTGTTAACGCGTTTACAATGAAAGTGAAAAGCAGAGTTGGCTTAAGTGTGTGCCCATCGATGCACTTTCATTGCATCTACATACGAGATCAACAGCACTTAGCCAACCCTCGGGCTCCCTGAGATAAATCACTAATTAGTGTTTATTATGAGAAAAACAAGTGCAAGCGCGGATCATTGAGATTTTCCACCTCCGCAATGGCAATTCGTTTAATATTTGATTTGTGGGAATTGAAAAAATTTGTACTCGTTCCTGGTAGAAGACTTATCCCTGCTAGTTCGAGGTGTCGCTTGAGAACTCTTCGCTAGAGCAATAGAAGGAGAAGTCGCTGGGGTCAGAGTAAGAGCTGGAGCTGGATGCGCAGATGAAGCTGGAGCTCGAGATATAGGACTTCTCACTATGGGTTGGAGAGTTTTGCCAGGAGTCCCAAGAGCTGACGCTGGAGTCTGAGCTGCCGTTACAGCTGGAGTTGGTGCAGGACTTGCTGCAGCAGTCGCTGGAGTAGTCCAAACTAGAAACCGACTCAGAGCTGGCACAAACTGATTTTCGGTTAGGGCTGTCCTTCAGAGGGCTGTGCATTGGCTCTTCAAGACGCGGCTTCTTGGCGGAGCCCGAATAGAAATTGGTTTGTAGATATTGTAGGGCAAAGTTGCGGAAATCGTGGAAGCGGCGTTGTGCTTCTCCTGCGAACTGCTCGTGGGTTGCAAAGTGGCCCTGAAACAGCTTTGTTTCCAGAGAGTCACACTGCTCGCGTATCACAGAGCGAGCAACTGGAAATTCCAGTCGGTCTGTGAGGGACCGAATCTTGCTCAGCTGCGCCCAGACCTTGCTCTGCCATGTTTCCGGTTGCAGGACCCTCTTGGTGACCTTGCGGTAATCCGTTTGCAGGGTGGCGTTACGGGGGTTCTTGGTGGAACGGATCTCCGGTCCGCGGGGTCGATTTTCCATGATCGCCAGGAACAAATTTGCCATTTGTATGCCTTTTTTGTACACCGGATCATCGCGTGCGAAATATTGGAAGCAATTACCCAACATAATTCGAAAGTCTGTCACAGCCTCTGCCAAGTTCTGGTAGTACCGATTGTCGATTCTCTCTATAATACTTCCGATATCCATCGGGTCCTGGATAGTCTCATAGTACTTCGGATTCTTCATGGGCCCCATAAACACAGCTGTGTACCTCTTCTCCGCCAGTTTCCCAAGCACACTGTTCTTGAACCAATGAAGTTTATTGGTGTATCGGCCCATGCTCTCCAGTTTCGGCATCACCTCCGGCTCCACGCAGCTAGGAATGCTTTGGTGCAGCTTTGCAGACTCAAAACAGTTCTGCATAGAAAGACAGTACTTGGAGTGGAGTGCATGGGGTTTGAGATTCGGCTTACCATATTTATTTGGTTTGGTTTGGTATTGCCTTGGGCGAAAACCTTCTCAGAATTAAGTTCGTTCGTTTGCTTATAAAAAATTGCGGACAAATTAATTCTTACTCTTTCCTGATACGCCTCGAAATGCAGCCGAACAAATTATGCGACTTGACAAGTTTCTTGATTTTAGACAATGACAGCCTACTATATGGCTACTATACTACATGGATAGCTATTTGACAGGCAACAAATGCGCCTACTTTGATTCTTTTTCCTGGTATGCACAGTATCGATACACTGAAAATCGGCTCACGCGGATAATTGTAATCGGTAATCGATTGACTGCTCAGAACGGGATTCAGCGAGACCAAATAAACAAATGTACCTGCACCTATCTATGTAGATTAATAATCAACTTCTTGCAGACAGCTGTTCAGCTCATGTTGGGGGGCGTTTCTGGCTTGCTGGTTAATTGAGACTTTATTGCGAATTAGTGTGGACCAAGTGAAGAATTTCCGAGCAGATCATGGCCAGCAATTAATTTACTCATTAGACCATTTCTGTCGCATTATTGATCCACAAACGGGGAACGCGGCTCACAGCTCACGGAGCCACTTTGTCGCATCTGCAATGCTGGTTGTTCTGGGAAACTGCAGCTCGAGCTTGCCCCAGAATCCACTGCTGGATGCAGTTGTTGCCGTTGTAGTCTTAACATTTTAGGGAATACGGTATTGGAACTAATTCCATCTCTCTACATATATGTACGTATGTCATATGTGGTTTTTCCCATCACCATCACCATCACCATCATCATCATCATCTGATTCGTTGCTGCCTCTTTTACACTGAACTTCCCATTTGGTGTTGGCCGCTTTGATCTGTCATGCTCCCTCCGACTGAGCTCCTTGACTCGCTTGCACCTTCAACTTTCCCTCTCTGTGCCCCTCAGCAACAGAGAGTCCTATGTCCGCTCTCCCACCCTCTGTACAGATCGTTTAGGCAACCATTTTGGCCCACTCACGATTCCTAGGCTAAAAGGCAATTAATGAAATTTGGGTCCATGGCAGGTGTCTGCCTGCTGCCCCTTTGTGTGAATTGCGTCGCTTTGTGACCCAATAAAAAGCCCATTAGGAGGCCCCGTCCAAAAACCACATCCCATATGTGAGCGGGCGTGCACTGGCGAGCTGCAACTGGGACAAAAGGTCTCTTCTCTTTGATCTCGATCTGCCCCCAAAGCGTCTCGTTTACGTGTTGATTAATTTGTACGACGTTGAGAGCCGAATTCCACGCCCACTTCCAGACCTCCTCCAGTCCACTGATCTTCTATGCCACGCCACGCCACGCCACACCATTCCACCGCCACTCCATTCCTCTCCACCTAGAGTCCACACCCCGCTCAGGTCTCGCTCAGCTTAGTTAAGTGGCGGATCAGCTAAATCATTCTCGGGTGTAAAATTACCATGATAAACGAAATCGAATATACAAAGGCCAGACAGGGAATACGGATACCTTTTGTCTCGTCTCCCCCGTTTTATTGTTTCTTGATTAGTGTTTATGTTTAGGGTCTAAAGGTATTCCATTCGGGTCTTAACAGTTAGGCGACGAAAAGTGAAAGAATCATCCAGTAGCCGACCATCATGTTGGTGGGTGTTCAAACAACAAAAGCCAAGCCACAGATGGGGCCAAGAACAGGGAGATGTTAGCTTTCCCTATTAGCACCCATATAAAATACAAAATGGAAAGTGTCACACCAATGTGACGCACAAACAACCTTGAAACAGGTTGTGGCTTCTTTTAGTTTTACTTTAATTACATTTAAGCACGCACATAAACCACATAAAATACCCCATGGAGAGGTGCGTAGAACAGGCACAGAATGCTGCTCGTATAAAAAGAGAAAATTGTGAAGAATGCAGAAGAGTTCAATGCACCTTCCTCGACTCCGATAGGCAATTTGCATAAACAACTGAAAAGTAGGGGGGGTCCCAACCCCAAGCCCCATAACAACAGCATAAAGCGGGCCTTCCTTCCAGCTGATGATAGTTTATTTATCCGCCGAAACTCTTGTGTTCCGCTCACTCTTTCGCCGGCTTTCATTTTCGAATTAGCGAAATCTTCGGGGTCAGCGACAATCATTACCAAAAATTGTCACACATCGGTCCGTGGCCGTAGTCATCGCGACGCGTCGCATCATTTCACTTGCGACGAAACCTTACGCAAATCTCCAACACGAACTGACCTTAATGATGGCCGATGATTTTCGGCATGCCCGTGAAATTGCAGCCATAAAACGGCAAATGCTCAGCCCCACAGATCTCAGAGTACTTTGAAAGTAAAAACGAGAAATTAGCTGCCATCGCAGTTAAACGAAGAGCGAATTCCCTTTAACGCAGGAAAAATACGCTTTGTTTTTTTAATGAAATGAAGAAGGGATTTAAATTGGTAAAAAAAAACAAGAGTAGATTTGATTGCAGTTTTAAATTTATGCAGTGAACTTAAGATGTTTTGAACATTTTCCCCTTGACAATTTCAGGCTTAAATTTTCCAATTGGTTTCTCAGTTGAAAAATTTATTCTAGAGCAGCAATTTCGAGGGCTAAGCTCCACCTATTATTTCTCAGTATCCTCACTTTGGAAGCGTATTCTCAAAACAATTCGAATTCGTGTACAAGAGGCAACTGTTGCTTTTCTATTGCTGATGCTGATGCTGCTGCTGCTGCTGGCATATCAAACAACTGCGGCCCGTTGACCGATGACAGGACTTCTCCTCTTAACGTGCATTTATTTTCATTTTCGTTTCCAAAGAGCCACAACAACATCGGGAAGAGTGGAATAGTGGAAGAGTGCCCCGCGAGAGTGCACAGCATGTGTGCGAATTGTAAATTACTCGACTGCCAGAGCAAGGCAAACAAACTCGCGAACACACACAAACAAATAAACGAGCTGGGAAATTTATTTTATTTTATTTATTTCCCCTCGTATTTCTATTTGCGTTTTCCTTCCTTCATAACCGGGCATAGGATGCCCGCTGAATGGCATGGTATAGCCTGGCCTGGCCAATGTCTGATGCCCAATGTCCGATGTACGAGTATGTATGATATTTATTTATGCATGGCCATTGCCGACTCTGGTCAGGCGCCAGTTTTACAAGAAAATCGAACAGGCAGAGAGCCAGAGTTAGATCCAAAGCCAGAAACGGAGAGTGGAGAGTGGTGAGCGGAGAGCGGAGAGGGCTGTTGTGACCCACTTGCACTTGGGCCATGGCCATGGCCAAAAACGAAAGACTTTTGCCACAAACTTGCATGTCGCTTTGGTATTTTCTTCTCTTTTGTTTTGTTTTGTTTGACCAGCTTCCAGCTCAAGGATGCCACAGATGAAAAACAACACCAAAAACCAACTGACACGGATGCTTAATTAAGAGCTTATTTCGCTAGGTCCGCCACATGCCACATGCCGACTGCCGACTGCCAGGGACTGTGGGCCAGAAGTGAACGTCCATTTGTGTATTCATGTGTCCATGTGTTCATGTGTCATGTTTCGATGGACATGGCAAACGGTCCCAGATCCCAAAAGAGGGCACGGGCCCCGAAAAAAGTGACAAGTGCCTGACAAACGAGGACAGCGACACGTGAGTCCCGAAAAAAAGGTCCGAAATGTTGTGAAGGTAAATTCATGTTTCTCTCTGCATGGCAAGAAATCTGGCAATTCATATGAGCGGAGAGCGCAATCTTTGCAAGATTTCGAAGGGAAATACAGCACAGTCTATTGGCCTTAGTTTTCATTCATAAACTGCCTTTAAGGGGAGGAGAAATCCATCATTCATGTCTACAGTTCCCTCTTCCTCATGAGAGACTTTCGTTAAAGTGCCATCTTCTGCTTAAGTTCGAACTTTCAGCTCAAGATTGAGAAGGGAAATACTTCGCCCATGTGCGGTTCTTTCTTCTTTCCTCCGACTAACTGGAACCACTCACCAAATCTCGATGGTGTCATCTGTTCCAGCCATTCAGGGGCTTTCTTTCAAGTGCAATCTTTCGGACTTTCTTGTTTCTTTGTGTCCCAGCCCCCAGCCTTATCAGCATTCCCTCTCACTTTTACTTTGTCCACTCTTTTTTTTAACCAGTAGCACGCCGTTTTCTCTGCCCATCATTCGATGACAACAGGTTGTCAAATTCTTTCGGAGACAGAGCCGTTTGATTTGTGTGACAAAAGCTGAACATTCAAATAATTATGCACTTTTACAAGATCTTTTCTCAGCAGATGCGAGCTGCGGCTCCGCTTTCTAAGGTCTCTTTCTGGGGCCCGCCCACGTGCACACGAGCTGGGAATAGTTTCCCAGCTTTTCCGAGTGCTGTGGCACTTGAGGTTGTCATGGCTCCTCTTCCAGCTGACTGTCGCTTGAGGACAGCTCAATCTGAGCAATTTTCAGAATCAGTTCAACTCCCCGCAGAAGAGAAGAGCGGTCTGCGGCTGCTGCTTCGGTTTGACCCCGTACCACCCACACGTCTTGCATTATGTTGCTTTAATTTACGTAAATTGCACTTGGAATTGTGCGCCTCATCTCAACCCATTCCCATATCCACTCTCGGTTCGGTGCGGATCGGTGCGGATCGGTCCTGCCATTCGCTGCTGCTCGAGTTAAATAATTTGAAAACAAATTTGAGTTCTGTTGCCTAACTGGGGATTACAAAATTGTTTGTAATGTGCATTTAACCCCGAGCCGAAAAGAAGGTTGCTCCGCCCGCCCCCTGGTCCCTTCTTGCTTACATAAGATTAGTTCGAGTGGCCGTACATTGTTTAATATATCATCTGGGTCTGCTTCTGATCCGGAACCCACTGCTGCTGCTGCTGCTGCTGCTGCTGCTGCTTCTGCTGCTGATGTTGGTGAAAGGTGGTAGGGCATAGGTCGGGCAAATATGAGAGAGCACGAGCAATGTTATTCCAATTACATTGCAAAATTAGTGCATCCCCATAGCCTTGCCCCCTTTCTGCGAGTATGGCATCCATTTGCTGTTGCACTCCCCCATCAGCAGCACGGGCAGGGGGGGCAGCTGGAGCAGCAGTCATAAACTTGATTCTCATCCAAGTCGTGTGTTACGTCCAAGTTATGTCATTAATTTATTTTTTGCCATTTTGTCGTGCCTGGCAGTCTTGTGGCAGTCTTGCGGTTGCCCCTGCACTCTTGT